ATTTTGAAGAGAGCGAAACAAGTGGAAGTCTGACGGCGCAAGGTCAGGAGAGTATGGTGGGTGTGGCAACACATCCCATCCAATAATTTTTGACGGGTGATCAAACTTGTGGATGGTCTCGCGTTGTCGTGATGGAATACAACTTCTTTACGATTAACAAGCTCTGGACGTTTCTGGATGATGGATTCGTTCAAATTGTCCAATTGCCAACAGTATACATTCGAATTGATTATTTGGTTCCTTGGTAGGAGCTCAAAAAACACGACATCTTTAAAATCCCAGCATACTGAGAGCATAATCTTCCTCTGATGAATGTTTGCTTTCGATGTCGTTTGAAGCAAATCATCACGTCCGGACCAAGACCGTTTGCGCACCATATTGTTGTAACCAATCCACTTCTCATCACCAGTTATCAGTCGCTTCAAAAAAGAATCGTTTTCCTCACATTTAATGAGCATATCGCATACGCGCCGTCAAATGAACTTCTTTGAGTTCATAAGGAACCCAAATATCGAACTTGCTTACGTATCCCAGCTTCTTCAGATCGTGAACGCTTGAATAATGGATGTTCAATGTTTCTGCAATCTCTCGTGTCATGTAACGTGGTTTGACTCGATCAATGCCTTTATTTTGTCATCATCAACCTCGATAAGCCTCCCTGACCGAGGAGAATCTTTGAGATCAAAATCACCAGCACGGAATTTCGTGAATCATTGTTGGCACTGATATTCTTGTACAACATTGTCATTGTAAACTTTACGCAACTTTTCACAAGCTTGACGCGCGTTCTTCCCTTTACGGAAGTAAAACAGTAATATAAGGTATAGTAAAAAGAAATCCATTATTTTTGCATGAAATTGAAGGCTTTATTTAACATAATTAGAATGATCCGATTTAGGTCAAATATGCACCGTTTTGTTTGATAACTTGTTGCCATTTTGAAGGTAATTCCATTATGCCTCTCTCATAGAAACCCTTGTCCCTATTGGCAAAAAACTGGGACAGTCGATTTTCACAAGCTTCTCTTGAGGCGAATTTTTCACCAGCAAAATCATTCGCCATAAACAGGAACAGGTGGTAATCACTTGGTACCAGGTCCGTACTATAAGGTGGCTGCATAAGAACCTCCCAACCAAGCTCCCGGAGCTTCTGGCGAGTCACTATCGATGTGTGTGGCCTGGCGTTGTCCTAATGGAACACAATTCCTCTCCTATT